TTAAGTAAATGCTAGCCCCTTCCCCCCTTGACACGTGGTCTGAGCTGGCTTGCATCCTTTCAGCGCTGAGGAAGGCAAAAGGCTGGCTCCACAGTTCAAGGACATTGCCACGTCCTTCCTGCGGCCGGAACCTTCTCAGTTGAGTTCTTTCTTGTACATAGTTCTAGACTCTCATTGTCAGATGAGTGCCTGGGAGGGATCGAAACAAGATTGGTTTTGTTTAGTTACCATTTAAATGAATGGGACTTCTGGAATCATGACTAACATAGATTTCAAAGGAAATCAGATAAAATGAGTAGCCAGAACAATCCTCAGGGATTGGGTGGAGGACGAGCTGCCAGTTACAAAGCTCTTCTTGATTAAATTGGCTATGGTAGGAGATGGGCTTACCCATGTTATTGTTAGGTTACACTATGTTCTTATCTTATCTTTGTTCTGGCCAATCTTCAAGATATTAAAAAATAAACAAACAAAAACACACACACCATCTTTTATTGAAACCAGTGACAGGTGGAGTGATATTTTAGCTCAACCTGAATGCTTATAAAAAGTATCCACCTCCTTAAAGAGGAGGAAGCAGTCAGAGGAGAAAACAGACAGAGATGGAAAATTTCATAGGTTTCTTGTGGGTGAGAATGAGAAATGTCATAAACATTTCTCCTTTCTTTCAATTCAGTGAAATTTTTTATAGGTCTCAACAAGAACTACCTCATGAATGAATCTCATTTTCATGAAAACTTTGTGCAAATTACCTGATTGTGTCATTGCACAAAACTACAATAACTGTTGCCTTTCCCTGTGGATTTTTAAAACACAGAGGTACTGGTGGTTTCTTTGCATCTTTTTTCTTTTTGTTTAATCAGGCATCTTGTGTGTGTGTGCACATGCGCACAAAGGAAAAAAACACATTTAGTGCAGAGCTACCATATGTTGCACATTTTTAAAAAAAATACAAAGGAAACCTGCCACATTTATTATTATTATTATTATTTATTTGATTTATATCCCACCCATCTGGTCTTGTCGACCACTCTGGGCGGCTTTAATGAAACCTTGATAGGCTGCCTTGATATAATATAAGAATTAATGAAATGTCTTCCCTATATTCACTCTCCTTCGTTTCCTTTCTTTTCACAATTGCTGAAGATGACTTCCTTTAAAAGCTCTTTAAAGAAGGTGGCCCAATGCAGGGCCTTGTGCCCCTCCCTCTCTGAGAAACTCTTTCCCAAGAATATGGAACAGCTTACAATATTCATGTGATAATTGCCACCTCAAAGAAGGCTTTGCTCAGAACCCCATAGGTATATCTGTTGTGTAAGGATGAGAAACCTTTTCTTGTGAATTCCTCATATAGGGCTTATCCATTCTAGGTCTGTGGTTCTATACAGGTATGCAGAGTAACAGATCAGTGCAAATGGACCAATTCTTGTTGTGTTTTCCAAACAGACTCTACTGTCACTTTAAGCCTGCCCTCTTTCATTTTGAATCAATCATTGCTGCCCTTTCAAAGCTGTCAGGTTTAGTACTATTGCTTCTGTCTCGCAAGAATGTCCAGTTCTACTTCGATGACATATTTTTTAAGTAATCAGTGGCAACTATTGAAGTAGAACTGGACACTCTTGAGAGACAGAAGCAGGACTACTTGGCATCGTATACACAGAGCCTGACCCATGAAATCAAATGGAATCACTCCCTCTGCCTTATGCGAGCAGCCCATTTCTGCTCCCATTCTCTACTATGAAATAGTCTCCCAGTACTCCCCTCAGACAGCAGCCCCTGGTTCATCAGGCAAGAGAGCCTGTCTATTTTATGCATGTCAGCTGGTTCAAGTGGCACCTGTCTACTCTTCCACATCTGTTTGATTTCAGTTTTTGGCCAGCAGCCCTTGACTCACACATGTAGAGGCTCCTCTGTGTAGCCACTTGGAAAGAATATGTGCACAAGCTGTTCCACAAGTTAAGCCATTGACTGAAGTGATTCCACAGCAGAGATGGAAAGGAATTTCATTGGACTTGACACTCAACAATAGGAGAAGTTTCACACCTTCCAAAACTTGCTGTGAGAAGAAATGCCCCTTGCCTCATGTATTCACTGCAAGCATAGGCATCCTTCAGTCTCGAGAGACTATGGTAACATGCTCTGAATCGAGGAGTGTCCGCTCCAGAGCATGAAGCCCGGGTAAGGTAATATGGAGGATAGGCTATTACCCAAGCAGCGGATCCCCCCTCTCCACATTGCTGTAATGGTCCAATGGAAAGGCAAGAGCCAATACAACTGGTTCCAGCAATGTCGCAGGAGTTGGCAGAATGACACATGCTGCCTTCGGGACTCCAGCTCCGGATTTTTCCTCGAGGTTAACTCCTGAAGCCTTTACCATGAGTGCATATAGCCACAAGGCAGTGGAGGTTTGAAATGGGAGTTTTCCTTCTCCTAGATGGGCTGCCTTCCATGGCTGACGAGCCCCACCTACCCAGCCTGCTCTTTAATAGTGCAAAAGTATGATCTGATCCTTAAAACTTTCCTGACTACCCGGCTTATGCAAATCTCATTGGCTTTCCTATTTACCATATTAAGGCCAGATATAAAATTTGAGAATTTTGCGCACCTAATGGTGCACGGTCCTGGGACACGCTCCCCACCCCGAGGCCATGTGGTGAGGAGACAAAAAGAAAGCCCAGGAAAAAAAACCTTAGCAAGGCATCCATGCAAACAGACCTGGCCTTCGCCCTCAGCCCAGCTTCCTAGGGGAAAGGGTCCAGGGTCCTGGGACACGCTCTTTTAAAGCAGAAAGTCCCACCCCTAGGCCCCACCCCCAGGCCATGTGGTGAGGAGACAAAAAGAAAGCCCAGGGGGAAAAAAAACCTCAGCAAGGCATTTACTAGCCCAGCAGGAAGAGAGAGTAGCTCTGGGAGTGATTGGAAGGACGAGCGGCCCCTCGTTAAGTCCAGCTGCGCAGGGGTATTCATATACAAATACCCCCATCTTTAATACAAATATTTAAAAGAATCAAACAAATACACTAAAATTATAAAGAAAATCAACACTAAAATCAGACTCAAATCATGCATCTAACATAGTGTGTAACCTTTGACATTTGAATAATTTGCTTTGCCCATTGATAAAGGAGCACTATGTGGTTTTGAATTGTCTGGCTTCAGCAGTATGGAAGCATGCCTAAAATTACATTCTGCTGACATGCTTCACATCCTGAATGTGAAACAACTTGACCTCTTCATTATATAGTTTTATAGTGATCAACTACAAACATATTCACTGGTTTCTTGGTGGTGAATGGCTGAAATTGTGATTTCTATTTTCCATCCTAAGCCATTTCTGTGTTCCTAAACCAAAAACCTAGGGCAGTTATATACAGAAAGGGAGCACTAGGACTTTGCTAGCAGCTGGCGGTTAGCCCCAGATTTCCATGCTCATACAGGCTTTCTTAAAGAATAGTTTCCAGTTCGTTTCCCTTACAGTAAACTCATTGCTTAAAATATCTATGTCTCAATAGACATGAAGAATAATTTGTGATCTGATGTGAGCCCTGCTCAAGCGTTGTAGCTAGGATTTAACCTGAATGTGTGGAAAAGAGGCAAATGATTCTTACTGTCTCCCTTGTTGCTCATGAGAGTGTTAGTCTAAAAAGGGCAGTGTCTTCTGTGCCAGTACCCTCTCTGTGGAATTGGAAAGCCTGGTTTTCAGTGTTCTGAATTGTTTGGAGAGGCTGCAAGTGTACAAGATGCTGATCTGTTAAGACTTCCGCTCTGTATGTGAAGCAAACAACAACATGAGGCAAGACTCTCTTCACATGTTCAGGTTTAACCCTAACCTTCACGCCTTAAAAGAACTATGCTGGCTGCTTCTCCTTGGGAAAACAAGATCGGATCCTCCAAAATGCACGCAGAGATCCACATACTGGACATCAGTTTTGGAACCTACGTATCTTATCACTCTTCTTGTGTTTGAATCGCTAATATAGAAGTTTGGTCTGCCTTTTAAAGAATCAGCCATATTATGCAGTAAATGTAGAAACAAAGTCGGTTTTGTAGCATTTCTTATGCTGTCTGGTAGGCAAAAATGGAACTGGAGGGTGAACAGATGCAGGTCTTTTGGTGACATAATGCTGGGAGTCAGTCCACCAATCTTGTTTGCTTCCCATTGTCTCCAATAAGAGTTAGATTCCACCCCCCCACTACTAACAAGTATAATGAGTTCATTTTCCAGTGGAAGGAGCAGAGGGAAATTTGCTATTGGCACCTTAACATGTATACAGAGTTTTCAGGTGTTTGCTGTGCTTCATGTGCATCCTCTAGTTGCAGTCCTTAAAAAAAACTTTGTAAGGGAAGTCAGTTTATTGAACTCCTCTTGCAATCTAGAATGGGGATTGTGGTTGAAGGGAGAAATTTGTCTAAGGCCACTCAATGAATTTATGGCGGAGATAAGATTTGAATCAGGTGTTCTCCGAAGCACAGCTCATACTTGAGGCACTGCACCGCATCAGCTCCAAGTATTTAAGATGGCTTAATGTGGTCCTTCCATCCCCCAACAAATGGATTGTTCATTATCCGTTTAAGTATGGCTCCTAGTTTAGTGGATTCCTGCTATAACGACAAGGATCTGTAACTTATTAATTATGAATCTCATAGCAGCAGCTAAAATTATGCTATTGGAACTCTATCTTTTCCTATGGTGGAATCGATGAAAGCTTTGGAAATTGCAGTATAGTCACTTGGACAGATATGGTGTATGAGAGAAATGAACAGATCAGATTGTGTGGGTTTTTTTTGTTTTTTCTTATGAAGTGGTATATGTTTATTACATCCTGTGCTGCAATACAATAATACTAGAGTTTCTGCATTAGGTAATCCCATTTCTTTGCTTAATTTGAGGATTCTGAAAAAATTTTAAAGTATAACTTCAGTGTACAATTCAACTGATAGTATCTAGTCAGATGGTTGTCCTAGCTGTGGACTGATTCAAACCTTTTCCATAGGTTTAAACAGAACTTAATTTTCAATTCTCTGTTTTCACAGGTGGTTTTTTGGGAAGATCCCCAGAGCAAAGGCTGAGGAGATGTTGGGCAAACAGAGACACGATGGTGCCTTCCTCATTAGGGAGAGTGAGAGTGCCCCTGGAGATTTCTCTCTCTCTGTCAAGTGAGCATTAATGTTACCACTGGCTGAGAAACAGGTTTTTCACTCAAATCTCAGACAAATCAAACATGTTTCAGTTGTTCTCCTTATTTGTATGATTGGTTTCTATCACAAAACCTAGCCCTTCCACACACATGAATCTTTTGGCCCACAGTTAGCAATGCCTTACATTTAATAAGATATAAAGATAGTCTGAATGGTTGTCAAGCAGTGATGCAGGAATACGTACTGAACAGCTTGCTTGTTGTCTTTTACTTCTGCTGTTGAGTGTTTTTCATCTTTAAAAAAGTTTTCTCATTCATTTTAATAGGTAGGACTTTGGTACACCTATTATGAGAGCCGCAAGTGTTGAAAACAGTCAACCAAGAGATCAACTGAATTTTTATGTCGATATTTTGCACCTTTACTGCAAAACTAATGTGTGTTTATTAGCATAGATCACCATGGACACTCACTTTCTTCTAGCAGAGTACTGCCACCTGCTGTTTGAGAGTCCCTTAAATTCTTATTTGTAGATAATTGGCATATGTACTGTTAGCCATATGTATGTACAACTAAAATATTGTTGTTTCGACTTACATGCCGCCTCATAGTGCTAGAGCACTCTCGGGGGGTTGGGTTTACAACCTAATTATGAAAATAATAACTCCCACTCCCTCAGGAGCTGGATATTCATATTACCAACCTCAGAAGACTAGAAGGCTGAGTCAACCTTGATCCAGCTATTTGAACCCTTTAGGATCAAACTGAGGTTTCGAGCAGAAACTTGACTGCAGTACTGCAGTTTAATCACTATGCCATGGGACTTTATGCATTACCTATCATGAATCTGGCATAATAGTTTGAGGAATAAATAAATCTAACATATTCTCTCTCTCTCTCCTTAGATTTGGAAATGATGTGCAGCACTTTAAGGTGCTTCGAGATGGGGCTGGCAAGTACTTCCTCTGGGTGGTAAAGTTTAATTCTTTGAATGAGTTAGTAGACTACCACAGATCAACTTCTGTCTCTAGAAATCAACAGATATTCCTTCGAGACATTGAGCAGGTGCCTCAGGTGAGAGATCATAACATTCAGTCTACATCTTAAATGCTTTGTAATATTTTATGATAAATTGAAGAATCGTGCAAAGTTGTGTTTACTCTTTGAAGTAATACATATAGTTCTTGCACCCTTAGGAAGAGTTAACCTGGCAAAGGATGATAATTTAAGAAATGTATAACCTATGGTTTACTATGAAGCTTCCAGATAACACAATAAAATATATACAGTGTTTTTCAGTATTTAAAGTAACAGAGCAGCAGACATTTGGTCAGTAACAGTAAGCAGACAAAACCAGATGTGAACACTCACATAAACCTTCAATAAAAACTTCACCCCGTATCCTATTCCACATAGTTGCCAACAGTCGGAAGGGGTTTTTGGAAGGTTGCATTTCCATGCACAAGCTTCCATTTGCTTGTGTTCATGCTGAAAACCGCTCAGTATATTGGAATACTTCAGTGGATTAAAGTATAAAAGATGAAAGTATCTTTAATACATTTAAATAAGTCTTTGGCAGGCACCACAAAAATGCCAAACTTAGCACAATCCACGGGGAAGGTCATTCTGCATATGACATGCTGTGATCAAAAAGGCACTCATCACTGAGTACGGCACCTGTTTTCAAATGGTGAAGATGAAAGTGGAAGACATGGACAGATTCATGAAGGAGAAGGCAGTCATTCAGATCCATGCTTCCCAAGGCATTTAGAATCTCAACGGTAACAGCCAGCATTTCACATTGTGTCCACATCATGGACTGTCAGCCTGTGCGATGGAACTGGTGGCACTGTATTGGATATTTGGATACTGATTCGCTGTTTAGATATTGGTCCCTGTAACTGTTCCCTGTTTAGTAATCTAAATAGCAAACAATGCTGCATTTCATAGTGACATTCTGGAGTTTCTGAAAAGCTTTCATAGGTTTCACTCTTGCAGTGAACTAATCTCAGGGATATGAAAGAATGAATAACTATGGCCAGGCATTCTCTGTCTGGGAGAATCACAGCGGGCATATAGAGATCACTTAATGGAAGGCATTGTATGTACAGACTATTTTAATCTGACAGATAATGTTAATTTGCCAGCAGCCATTGTACTAAAAACCAGGTTGTTTAGGAAGAGTGCAGCCCTATCCAGAAGAGATTGAGCATCATAGATGAATTATCTCCCCAAAGAGCCCCCATCTTAGAGGAACTGCACGTCAATTTACTGAGCCTTCTGCATTCCATTATTGATCTCACACATCAGTTGAGCACTTCTGCTGCCTCAGGGTTTTTTGGGAGATCTGTCCAAAAGAGAAAATATACAACATACTGATGACCAGGCTGGAGGTTTTTTGAGGGAGCTCTACAGTGCCTAATGAACAATGTTCCTGTAATGCTTTGCCATTCCCATGGAGCCCAGAAAGCTCCATCTATGTCCTTCTCCATGTTGTAGAGAAAGCCTTAACAAACAACAGGTGTATATGCTGAAACTCCGCTGAGACCCTGGATTTATTAATTTTTTTAACTGAAACTACCAGAATTCCAGCTGGGGAAATTCCTGCTGAATTCTGGCAGCTTTAGTAGAAACAAATCCAAAAATCTCATGCCTCCTGACTCAGAATTTCCAGATCACCTCAGTCAGCCGTTTTATATACACATGAAACAGTCTTCAAGACCCTGAGGAATCTCATTTTACGAATGCCCATGTGGTCAAGCAGTTGTCTCCCAGCACCATGTTTTGTATTGAAGCATCAAAATAGAAGTGGAGCCACTGAATAACAGTGTGTCAGTCCTAGCAGCATATCCTGAATAATACCTTGGTTGTATAGGATGAAGGTCAAGGAGAATAAGCAGATTTGTCAGATTGGGTAAACTAATACTTGACCCTCCCCTAAGAGTCCTACAGAACTTTATAGACCTTCCTGGAAAAAAATCAGAAGGTTGTGGTCATCACAGCCAGTATTTATCCCAATTAACCGTTAATTCAAAAATGAAACCAGTAAGCATTAATAATTATATCAGACTTCATCTGGATATCAAGGTAAAAGTCTTTTCACTGTTACAATAATTTCAGGCAACATCAACTTGTCTAATTCTACAAGCTATATTTCAAATTTCAGATATTGATGGATAGACGCTTCTACACTTCTGGCAAGTGGACGAACCAGTTTCCCTATCAAAACTGGGCCCAGAACCAGTTTCACAAAGGATAATTTATTGAGTTCTGTATTATCTGTAGAAATGTCAGTTCTGTAAAACACAGTCTTCTGAAAATGAGAATGCCGGAAATGTTTTGAGCACTAATATCTCACCCTTGGTTTGTTTGTTTCCCTCCTACTTTGCAGCAACCTACATATGTTCAGGCTCTTTTTGATTTTGACCCTCAAGAGGAAGGTGAGCTGGGCTTCCGCCGTGGAGACTATATCCAGGTCATTGACAATTCTGATCCCAACTGGTGGAAGGGAGCCTGCCACGGACAGACAGGCATGTTTCCACGCAACTATGTGACCCCAGTGAATCGGAACATCTAGAGCAAATTATTAAAGATTATTTAAGGAAAAAAAGAGAAAACAGTAAAGTACACATTCAGAATCTAACAGCAGCCAGTGATCTCCAGTCATCAGGCCATAAAATCTGAGTCACCCTCTTTGCATGAGGGGAGATACTTTTATTCACTCAGTATGGAACTTTGTGGGAAGGGGACAGGAGAAGGGTCCAATTTGTGCGCCAAACCTTACCTTTTAAATTAAAATAGATATTAACAGATTTCCTTGGTTTTCTGGGTGGGTGGGCCTTTTGCTCACATGTCCTTTCTCCCCTGACTCTGACAGAGCAGTTTATCAGTGCATGACATTATAATCTATATGAAGTCTGTACTATGCCATTCAACGAAAAAGGGGGAAGCTCTGCTGGTGTGTGTTGTTAATGCGAACAGTGTTCATGAAGGGACTGGAAAAGGAGCCAGATTTATTAGCCAACTGAAAAATATTGCACACATGCCAATTCTGCTTTTGCCTTCAGTATTCTGCCTGGGTAAGACAGGGTCCTAATTTTCTTGTTTCCTTCCATCTGAAATCCCAGCAGCTCCAGAGGAGAAGGAAGATGGCTTTAATTCCCCCCACAGGTTGCAGGGCTGTTCTGAGAAACCCTATCCTTCAGCCAGATCATGTTCTTATTAACCATGATAGCTTTTTTTTTAATTTAAGTGTGTGGTTGAGCACATTCTTCAACTTTTCCATTAGTGCCTTTCCCTCATTTTCTGTTTTTTTTTCAATAAAAAGGACAGTAAAGAGCTTTCATATTTTCCTGCTTTTATGTAAATATTTAAGAAGTTGAATGGGAGGGTTGCAGCTTTATTAAATACAAAGATCTCCATAAACGAAGGGGAACTTTAAAATGTGTATAAGCATTTGATATTCTTTACTAGGTGAGGAAAGGCGTAGGTTTCTCTGTATGATGCAGGGCTAGAACCTGTGGCCAGGGGGCCTTGAGAAAGAAAGATTATCGCATCACTATGAAAAATGTGGCATATTGTCTCAAGCTGCCATATGGTGAAGATTGACTATTCTGGGATGTCCTGTGAAATCCATAGTTTCTCTATTACAGGGAGGCTTCAAGACATTGTGCTTAATTATACTTAATGTCTTAGAAATATTTGAACATGATGCTTGATGATAAACAGTCCAGTTCCCCTGTATAGTTGGCTGGCTCACAGTCCATGACTAGTTCTCCCCAAAAAAAACGGAATTGGTATTTTTATTCGCCAGCAGGTTTCATTCTCTCTTCATGCCAGCAGTATCATAGTCGCAGGAGCCACGTCTCTTCCTCCCAAGTTCACAGCAGGCTGTGTGAGCGATTGTATTTCAACCTGATGTCCCCTGATAAAAATTAATTTCACACTATTCATGGTCTTATGAATAGATTAGACTCAAGACAGGGAAGAACAACCTGCAGAGCTCTTGTGCCAATACTCACCTTATTTTCTTTTGCTGAGCCACATGGTTGCAATGTTCATTCCAACAACAGATCCCAAAGCTACCGCAGAGATCTCCTCTTCCATCCAGATGGAGAAATCCGTGTGTTGGCAGGTGCCTTTTTATACTAGGTGTTGCAAATGTGTTACAGTATTCCTAAAATGGACTCTGCCTTACATTTATGTTTCTCCCAGCAAATGGAAACAAAACAAAAGCTATCCTGTAGTGAGTTAATTTCTTACCTGATCCTCACTAGCTGTCTTTCTCTCCCCCCTCCACCTACTTTCTTCTTTTTAAAATGATTGGAAAAGGAATCTATGGCATTCTACACTTGGACCATTTGATTGTTTTCTTACTTTGGAATTGGTGTATATCATGCAGCCTTGCAGACATAATGTGTTGTGTGTATATATATATTAAAATCAATGTTTAAATAAAAAAAACAGGCCTATGTACGTAATCCTTTAACTCAGCAGCAGCATTTGGTAGATAGTAATTAACTGTGAATAATAAATATACAATGAATTCTTCACTTGAATATCAGTGTGTTTTTCTGTTAATTTAATGATCTTTAGCAAGTCTAAAGAAGGAGTAAGGTGGAAGATCTGTATATCTTTATAGACTAGCTCTCCTCTCAAGAGGCACTGTTGAAAATTTAATTCCCAAATGCTGACTCCACAGCCAAATAGGCAAGTCACTGAGATATCCAGCCAGCTTCCAGGACAGTATACACAGATTAATAGTGCTCATTTTGTAAATTCCACCAAAGCCCCTCAGTCAGGTCAATTTGGTTATGCTGTAAATATGCTGATTAATTGTTGAAACACAAGACAGGTAACAGGTCATCGATATGATCATGTCAGTTTTGTGCATGGAACCCACCCAATGCTCTTTCAGTCAGAACTCATGGGGACCAGGGGGTGGTGGTGTAGAGATGAGCAATACCTACTCTCACACTAGGTTAACACACATTGTGTTGCCTTCAGTTGTCTGGAAGACTGCCTTTTCTTAGCAAATTTACTAAGCTTGGATTTGTTTTGGGCAGAAATGCCTGTAACTGTTGACAGGATGACACAGACTTAAAAACATACTACTGTATTAGTATTCTGCTGATAGAAAACGTTCACACTTTTTGCATAAGCAAAGGGTATTTATTGCAAAACAAAACCTGAAATGACAAGATGGGGCAAAATTTAGTATACAGTGAGCAAAATCCTGTTATATGACTGCATCTGGCGCTGCTTTGAATGGACTGATAACATTTAACTTGTGCTTAATAAAGGCTTCCTATCCCTACATTTTAGGGTTCCAAGGCTCTCTTGGACTCCCTTTTGCCTTGGAAAAGCCTTTGGGAGTCTTGAAAAGGGAAGCCTTTAAGGGCCAAAAATTGGGGGTGCAGCAGTCCTAGTGCGCTGGCAGCAATCCAGCAGCACTTCCCCATCCTGAGGTCTCAAAGACTTCCCCAAGGCCAAAAAGAGCCCGAGGGAGCCTTGGAACCTAAAACAAAGACAGGAGACTTGTAATTAAAGTAAAGCAAAAGCAAGGTGTGCTGCTTATATATGGCCCCATAGCACTTCAAGCACTCTGGGCAATTTAAAAGTTAATTATGAAGGCTACACATTGCCCCCCCCCCCCAGCGAGCTGGGTACTCATTTTACTGACCTCAGAAGAATAGAAGGCTGAGTCAACCTTGAGCCAGCTACCTGGGATTGAACCCTGGGTCGAGCACAGTTTTAGCTATAGTACAGCAGTTTAACCACTGCGCCACAAGGCGTAAATTAATTGTTTCTGATACCCTGTCTAAGTTGCACCATGCACAAAGTTATACAACAAGATTTTGCCCAATAGATGGGCCCAAATTCCATATTTTATAACAATTTTATTCATAATAATTCTCTTCAGTTTCTTTCTCATATTTTGTACTTATGGTGTTAGGGGGTCTGCTCGCTTGCCTGCCTGCTGTGGATTATGCTTTGAGCCATTATTCATGCCACTACATATCTTCTACTTTAAGCCTAACTTTGGCTTTGAATTCGTAAAAGATGCGGTCTCAAAATCATTAACCAGCACTGCAAAAATTGGTTTGAGGTGTATTTTTTAGAAGTATTCCGCCCGCCCCTCTGCCGCTGGAAAATTTGCAAGTTGTTTTTGGCCTAAGGCCAGTGGAGCTATTGGCTATCTAAATCTACCGAGGAAAGGATCTCTATGGGGAAAAAATTCTGATGAGCAAGTTCCCAACTCTGTAGGACAATTATATTTTTACAAGCCAACCAAAAAGTGTACAGAGGCTCAGGAATGTGCAAGCTTTCAAAAATGTATTTCGTCCTCAAGCAAGATGTTGAAAGTAATGTGGAGAGGGAAGAAAGGGGATAAAAGGTTGATCTTTGCATGTTGTTTTAGGATGATAATGAGGAAGGGATGCTGGAAACAAAGAAGCTGGTCTTGCTGGGTGATTGAACAATGTTAGATTTCATCAGGGATAGCCCCATAGACTCCAGCAGAACTGGAAAGTGAGAAAATTCAGATCCTTCATCTTAAATAGAAGTCTCCCATGAGGAACTCTAGGCTGCATCCATCCTGTCTGGCCACACAGGCTTGTTAGTTGGTGCCACCTCTCCTACTTGGTTTTAACATCACACCTGATGAAACACTAATATTGTTAAAAATCTGCACATTTTGTGTGCTTCTGCTACTTTTCTGATCAGCTTATAAAAGCATCGCTTCAGTAGGCAGTTTGGAATTGGTTTTGCACCAACAACAGCTATCACTGCTTTTGTTGTCACCACAAACACACTTCCTGTTCACTGATTTTGCTATCTCTGTCTCCGTTCTTTTCCAGTGGTGTTCCACTTTGCATACAAAATCCTTTTTGAGGCAAATATGGTCTGTCTAAATGTCACATTCCATCTAAGCTTCTATTTAAGAAGTAAATCTACATACCTGCCTGCTGTGCTGTGTGCTGGCATCAGCCATCAAAAGGCATATGGCTCAAATTTTAATTCTTGGCTGCCTGTGCTTCATAAACTCTAAATTTAGGCAGTTGGTAACCACAGCAACAACACTCTAGCTGCCTACCCGTCTCCAATATTAAAGTAACGTATAGAACTTTATTTAGCCACAGAATTAACCTTTGCTGTGAGCAGCGCATTAAAAAATGCAATTTGATGCCTGTTTAGAATTCAGCATTTTTTTAAATGAAGGAATATGTTTCAGTAGGACCATCTCATGTTGCAGTTCAAAATGATTATTCTCTATTGCAGTACTATTTTTTCTGCCATTATTACTCCTCTTATTCCTCTCTTCCCATCATTTATTATATATCTTAGAAGAGAATGGCATAACTATGTTCTTCTACATTCAGCCATGAGGACAGAAATAGCATCAGAATGTAAGGCATTTAGACAGCTTTCAAATAGAGACACCCTCCCTGCTTTTCACTGTGAACACAAAGATCAAAACTGCTGTGCCATTTGTTTCTAAATGTAACAGGCTGTTTCAGATGCAGGAGATAATCATCCTACAAAATGTATCAAATTAACAAGGTGAGATATTTTGTTAACAGAGATTGAGATAAAGTTCATTGTACAGTATATGGTATTAAAATACTTGCTCAACAATGAATGTAAATGCTTTCTACTTGGGTAACTGGATCATAATCTACAAAGCACCTTACATGATGGCTATGAGAATTCAGTGGGGTAATGTTATGTACACTCCCCTTGAGTTCAGTACAAAAGAAAACAAATCAGATATTATAGAGTAATAGCCTAAACAGAAAAATTCACAGTAGTGTAAATATGACTGAACACTAATTAGAGCCCATCTCTAGATGTACTGTACATAATAGCTGTGGAACTATAGCAAATATAAACATGAAGGTAGCTGTGTTGATCCATACAACACGCACAAATGACTTTTATTAGGACCAGTTACAAATCCACAACAGTATGAAAGATTTCAAGTTATCCAGAAATAACAAAGTCTTGTGGCACCTTGAACAAGCTTTGTTTGACATATATTTTCACGTTTTTTGTCTGCCTTCTGAAATTTTAAATCCGGTAACAAAAGCAGTAATAATAGCTGTAACAAGCACAAACAAACTGGATTCTACATTAATATATGTTCTACATGGATATGCATGAAATCATGTGCTTACAGCAGGAGTTGCTTGCAGAAGAGTCCTACGCTATGATAAGAATAGGGTGGACTGAACACCCCGGCCTCAAATTATTGATCAAAATGGATGAAGATTGCTGTATAATTTAGCCCTCTATGGAATTATCAATCAGGTGTGAACTAAAAACAGGCACCAAAAAGGTTGAGATGGTTGTTGTATTTGAACACTTCTCAGCAAAAGAGGGCAAACAAACATCTGTAATCTCATATCACTTCAAGACTTGTATCAAAATGTTGGGTCCATTTAGTGTGTATGGAAAAATTGTGTGGCTTCCTAATGAACAACACATACTTCCATCACTGTAAATCCTTTCTAAACCTTTGCCGAAGATTCATGCTGCTTATGTGTCAGTATGAATGACAGACACACACATCCATCACTGGGGTTGAGCAACATGCCAAGTGTTTGGCCTCCCCTCCAAATACACAGTGGTATTTGGAGGGGACAGTGGCTGGACAGTGTCTGCGAAGCAACCAACATGAATTTGACCCAACTCCAGGAGGCAGTAGAATTTAGGAGGGCCTGGCGTGCTCTGGTCCATGGGGTCACGAAGAGTCAGACACGACTTAACGACTAAACAACAACAAGAAAAATATGTCAGGTACTTCTTTCGGGAAATTGACCATCTTTCTGGCCATTTTTGCATGCACTTAAAGAGTATGATGCACTCTGAAGTGGCATCGTATGGTGACCCATATAGGGTTTTCAAGGTATGCAAGATATTTAATTACAATATTTTACCCCACCTTTCTCCTTAAAAGGACCCAAGGCAGCATCATTAAAAGACAATATTTAAAGCTAACAATGGTGAGTATACAAATACAAATGGATCAAACAAATAACATATGAAAAAACAAAGCAACATCAAAATCACAGTCAAAACAGAAATGCACAACAATCCTACACTACATTGGTGACATTAAAAAGGAGAACATAATTTGCTAGCTGGCTGCACCTATCACAGGAAGTGTCCCATTAACACCCAGAAAATGTGCATTACTTATTATGCCTGTATAACTACGTAATTATTAATTGTGAAATATTTTAACAACAGCAGAGGAAGTGGATTGAAACGGTATGGCCATACTCTATAATCACAATAACAACAAGGGAAGGAGGATATTTTATTAGCCGCCCAGAGTGGTAGAATATACCAGATGGGCGGGATATAAATCAAATAAATAAATAAATAAATTTCTTCAAGGAATGCAACAAACCTGAAGAGAAAGGTCCTTTCCTCCTTGTTGAAGGACAGCAAAGATGGTGCCAGACTTGCTTCCCTGTGGGAGGGAGTTTCAAAGTCTGGGAACAGCCACAGAGAAGGCCCTGTCCTGTGTCCCCATCAGATGCACCTATGAGGGTGGCGGGATTGAGAGAAAGGCCTCCCTTGATGATCTTAAAGGATTGAGAGAAAGGCCTCCCATGATGATCTTAACAACTCAGCAGGCTCCTAAAGGGAGATGCAGTCCTTGAAATAGCTTGGGCCCAAACTGTTTAGCACTTTATAGGTTAGAACCATCACTCTGAATTCTTCTAAAAAACGGTTCAACAGCCAGTGCCGCTGCTATAACAGGCAGGTTATGTGATCTCTGGATGCTGCATTTTGGACCTGCTGAAGAGACAGTATTTAAGGAATGGCTTTATCATTGCCACGGTCCAGAGAATTTACATGGCCCACATCTCCAAAATCCTATTCCATCACTCTGCTTACTAGATACACCACATTGGCTCTGGGTACTTATTATGCTCCTTTAATATATTAATGCTAAGCTCATAAGGACAGCTCATTGAATGGGAGCATGGGGTTGGGGGCTCGATTCCCCACTGTGGAAGACCAGGCTGCTTGTATGGCTTTGGAAAATCTACAGAGTTTTAAAGTACCACCACAAAACAAAATGATAAACCTCTTCTCAGTACTGTACTCTATACACCTAGAAAACCTGGGAAAGGTTTCAATAACTTGGAACTGACTTGACAACATGCAGTTTATTCCTAATAACATTATGTAATGTATTCTTGAAGGCTTTCACCGCTGGGATCTGATGGTTGTTGTGGGTTTTTCGGGCTCTTTGGCCATGTTCCAAAGGTTGTTCTTCCTGATGTTTCGCCAGTCTCTGTGGCCGGCATCTTCAGAGGACAGGAGCCCGAAAAACCCACAACAACCAACATTATGTAATACTTGCTTTCTAATTGCCTTAATCAGAGTCACAGCATAACTGCTTTAGTCAGAATACCTGTCATTGGTGTCGTTCAAACATTAGCACCTATGGTTCTCTTAATTTCAACAGTACACAAGGAATATGACAGGATTGCTTATTTTGATTATGTATTTACCTCCATTAAAGAAACGCATGCAAAATAATAAGTGAGCAGGAAAGCATTTTTATCGCCTGCACACAAGTCTCCAACTTTCCTAAAAAGTTGCCGGATTCCCGAGTAGAAATGATGTAATTAACACGTATCAGCACACCACTTGTTGTTTGATTAGACGCAGTAAATCAGTCAGGGCGCCTCTGTTGCAACCTAATGGTGCAAAAGGCTAGAAGGGAGGGGGTTTTAAAAAGTTGGCCAAAGGCTCAGCCCCCGGGGCACTGAACGGGGCCCAAAATCTACAGTCAAGCAGTGAGACTCTTGGAACCGCCCTGACAGACGGAACCCAGGCGATCCTACACCACTTCTGTGGGAAGGGAAAGCCGTGCTACGCCCCAAGCAACCAGCCCCTTCGTTGGCTGCTATGTGGCGCTCTTTCTGCTTCAAAATAGTGCCACGCACACGCACGCACGCACACACACACTCACACACACACACACAGACTAGATTGGCAGCTTCACACACACACACACACACACACACACACACACACACTCATGGTTTTTCCTGAGGAATTTCAGAATGCTCGAATGTGCCGCTTGCACTTCCTCTTGCCATACAAGTTTTTATTTATTTAAAAATACAGTCTTCTGAGCCCTTTAAATGTTGGAGTCTTTTTTAACTACTGACCAGCAGAAGGCCATATAACAAGCCCCCCCCGCGCGCGCGCATTTTTTCTTCCTATTTCCTCCTCATCGCCCCGCCCAAGCGTTTACTATGTAAGGCGACGCTTGTAGTCCGCCAAGCACTACATTTCCCAGAAGGCCAGGCGGCGGCCATTCCCGGCGAGACCGTCCTGGAGACCGTCCTTGAAAGCCGGCGTATCCCTGAAGTGGTGGAGCGAGTGTGCTGTCGTTTGTACGGCTTGTTATTGGCGGTTGCTTCCCTTGAACTCCGGGAATAGGAGTCCGGGTGAGCTTAGCGCTACACGGGGATGGCATTGCGGGTCGCAGGAAAAAAACGGCGGCGGCGGTGCGGGGGGTGGCGAGGGGAGGAAGGCACTGTTGGCTCAGCCTTGGATTTCTAGTTCAAACATGGTAGCAAGCAACATGGTAGACACACACACACACACCACCACACCACACACCGAGAGTGGGTCTCTTCCTCCGAATCACAGATCTCTGTAAAATCTACTTTGACTTGTACTGGGGACGCACTCTGTAAATGCTCAGATGCACTTTTTCTTCTTTTCCCTCCTTCCTTCTCAAGCGCTCTAAATCTCAGCCTGGCTTTAAAGAGATCCTCTTTCGATAAACATGTGTTTGAAAATCGTATCATATGCTCATCATCATTTTAAAACTGCAGGGCTAGAAAAAGGGCCCTATGGATCCCTGAGTCCAGCCCATTTCAAGGAGGCACAATGGGGGAATCGAACTCCCAACCTCTGGCCCAGTGGCCAGATGCCTAAACCACAATTTTTGTCTTGATTTCTGAATGGTGCATTACAAAGTGGATTTTTTTTAACAGTATGAGTTGGCTTGTTTTTGTTTTGTGGAGCTGTGCAAAAGCAACAGGGAGTCTCCTGGCACCTTAAAAACTAGAAGAGGAGTTTTCTAATATTACTGGCATCTCCTTAAGGACATCTGTTTTTAATAGTCAGCTATTAATTGTTATATGGCCATAGGTTAGGCAATTTCTACTTCCTGAAATGTTTGGGTTTCTGTTCTTCCTGACTTTTCAGATTAATGTCCCCCATCCACAAAGGTTCACCTCCAAATGAAACTCTTCCTCTTGGATTCTGCTCGTATTGGAATAAGGGTTTTTATCATCCTACATGTGCAAATCTGCTCATCTCTGCTAGGATATTCTTCTTGCTTCTCAACTACTGAGAGGCTGAGTACATGGCCTTTTCAGCGCATTGCTTGGTCCACTGCAGGAAGTGTTTCTAAAGATGGCAACCAGACAATGTCTTTGTTGGAGTGGACATACACTCCTTCAGCGATCCTATCCCTACATTTCTACCTTTTTTGGTGCATGTAAGATCACTAGTTTGGATCTGTCCCAGCACATGTGATTGCTAGAACAAATCCAAAGCAAGCCTTCTGGTTTGAATTTGCCAATCTTGTGAAATGGCTTAACAAGTGAGCCACTTCAGAATATTGGCAAATTAATTACTCCTCTGCTCATTGGCAGAACGGCAGGAGAAGGGAAAATTATTTCCTGTATAATGGACTGTTGCTGATCCTCTCCATCTGTTAAAAAATTTTTAAAATATATTTTATTTGCTTTGTCTTAAAGGGCCGGGCAGGAAACTGCCTGCAGTCAAATCCATGGTGATGGCTTTGGCTGCAGGCAGTTTCCTGACTGGCTCCTTAAGACAAGGCAAAGAAATTGTGTGTTTTTTTTTTAAAACTGATGCAGCCCTTAAGTGGTAGTCTATTATAGAGTTTAAAATAATCACTTCTCCTGCCCCTCTGTCAAGGAGCAGAGGAGTGATTAATTTGCCAGTATTCTGAAATGACTCCAATTAAGTCATTTCACAATATTGGCAGGAGCCATTTTTGTGTGAACTATTGGGATTGATTACATTTTTCTAATTGAGCCCAGCCATTTCAAGAAACATATGCCCAATAAAACTTAACTAGCCTTTTTTGTTTAGTAAAATAAAATGTGCTAATCTTTAAGATGCCATGAGATTCTGTTGTTGTTACTCAGTTGCAACTTCCGTTTGGTTCAACGAGACATTATCAAATAAGAATATGTAAGAGTAAAACATCTTAAACTTGGATTGTTCTAATAGTCTGTTCAAAGTAGAGTGTGTACTGGATAAGGAAGCAGGATTCCAGTCCCATCTCTGTGTTGACATCTAAACACTTGGGACATCAGCTGTATCCTGATCCTCTTGACATCCAGACACTGGACATGACATAAGCCTATTTGATGCTATGATCTTAAGCATCCTTCTAACGTTTATTTCCTTGCTGTCAGTATCAGTGTCAACAGGAGTGAATGGATATCAGAGCTATCTGTGGCCCCTGGAGGGATGGTTGGCTATGACCCGGATTCCAAATGTGCTTCCCTCTCGACAGGAGAAATCGCAGCTGCAGGATCTGCATCTGGGTTGGTCACCCGGGTAATGATCAGCCCTTTTGATGTCCTAAAGATTCGCTTTCAGGTACTATTTTTTACAATGAATGTGTAATTTTTATTTTATGACTGTGAACACATGAAAACTGGGAAGGAAGAAAATTGTCCCTTCTTATAGTATCAACAGTGTACCAAAGCTGCATTATTGTGTACAATAACTAACGCGTTCTCCAAGATCTTATCCTTAGATCATCAAAATAACAGTCTACATGCAGAAAAGCAGAGATGAGGGAAACCTCAAAGCTTTCCAAAGTACAAAACAAACTGTTTTTAAAAAAAAACTGAAACCCCCAGAGAGTCCAGTGAGGGCAGAGCACCTCTAGTGACCTTAGAATGCTAGCTAGAAACCTCAGGAGCAAGACTGGTCATGGCACCATTCCGTTGCACTTGTGTTAAATGTTTATGTTACTGGACCAATATCCTTTAACAAGCAAACACTTCAGAACCTGTGGTAAATTATTGTGCCCTTTTTCTTTCATCATTTTAAAAAAGGTTTCTCGGCAAGATGATTTTACAAAAGCTAATACAGGATTTTGAAATTTCTAAATTAGGAGGTGGGAAAAGCACCCTCAATACCTCAGTACTATAGTTCTCAATAAGAACAGAACTTCTTATCTGCAAAACTATTGCGTTCAGAGAAAAGTAACATGAAACAATATGGGGAAAGGTAGGAGGATTCACATGAGTAAATGTAGCAGTCAAGACAATAAGGGAGCTGAGATTTTAGTAAGGAATACTATTGTTTGGTTTTGTAATTAACTTTGCGTTTCCATGGATATAACATTTGGATGACAGGAGGCGGTACAAGTGAAATATTCCCTAGCATGAAAATAGGAAGCAATTTTTAAACGAAAGAAAGGCTTTCCCCGAGAAGAATTATTTCTTGGACTCCAATTACTTCATGCTGGCTGGGGAATTCTGGAAGTTGTAGTCCAAAGGTTAAGTCCAAATGACTATGCATTTACTCTAAGGTCTTTATCTAATATTTGTCTCCAACATCCGCACCAAATGAAGCAAAGTAGGTGGCTAGAGAAGAGGGCCTTCTCTGTGGTGGCTCTCCCAAAGAGGCTCCCATGGCTTCAGCACTAGAATGAAGCTTTTCTTATTCTTCCAAATATTTTAGGAACCATTTTAACTGTTTTTTTGGTTTAATAGGGATGTAATGACTACTTGGTACATTCTCCATTCTCGCCCATGTAGGCTGGCTTGATTTCGTAAGACACTTGACTAGGAATCTTCAAGCCCTGTAAGATTCCTCACTTGCAAGTGAGAGCCAAGCAATGGCTGCAATTCTGTTGCTTAGCACAAGTGGCATGAGGGTAGGCCCATTCAATCAGTGGGGATTTGATCAGTTAGTTCCTTCGTATGTTGCATTGATTCAAATGGGCCTACTTTAATATGTTGCATTGATTCAAATGGACCTACTTTAGTTGCAAATTGCTATGCTAAGCAACAGGATTTCAGCTGAATAGTGTTCTCTTTCTCATTTAGGTTTCTACAACTTGCACAGACTGTCTGTTCTATACAAACTAAGCTCCTTTCTTTGGGGAGAGACATCCATGGACAGCAGGCAAAACAATAGCTGACATTTACAAGATGTGCAAAATGCTGCTGCAATCTACCCTCTAAAATCCAACCATCGTTTTGTCCAAGTTGAATTACTTGCATTAAAGCACTCTGTGCAGTGAAGTGTTATTTTGCTGAATTTTGCCGACTTTCTGCAAATATCCTGCTTGTTCTCTTCTCTGGTTGAAAGTACCTTAAAATACACTGTCATCTTGGAGAGCAAGAAGAATAACATTGTAGCTCCTTGTCATTTCCTGCAAGGATAAGATGTGTCTCTTTCACATCCCTAGATTTTAGCATTCTTTTTTTTTCTTGCCGTGGATTTTATTTTGAATTCATTTTAAATTTTTGCTTCTGGTTTTGGTTTGGTTTTATTCTGTGTTGTCTTCACTGTTTGTTTTACTGTTTACATTTTAAATGCACTGTACCCAGCTAGAGAACTCACTGGGAGAAAAGCAGCCTACGAATGATACAAGATGGATGGAAGGAAGGAAGGAAAGTGGAATAAATACTGAATGTGTGCAAGATTGCAGCCCCAACTGGAAACCAATGTGGAGATTTTTGTCAGAGATATAATGTTTCTGATCTGATATGACTTTAGTTCAAGTCTTGATGCACTTCACAATGCATGCATTTAATTAAAAATTTAACTGCTACTGTTATCTTTTCAGCTTCAGATAGAGAAACTTTCTTCCAGAAATCCACAAGCAAAGTATCATGGTATTTGGCAAGCCATTTTGAAGATTTCTCAGGAGGAAGGGCCAACAGCTTTCTGGAAAGGCCATGTCCCTGCTCAGCTCCTCTCAATCACCTATGGGGGCACCCAGGTAAGAATCAGGAAGTGTGTGACCTTAGCTTTCACAGGAAGGTTGTTGTTGTTGTTGTTGGTAGTAGTAGTTCCTTAGCTTTCACACGAAGGTTGTTGTTATTGTTGGTGGTAGTAGTAGTAGTTGTTGTTTTATTTATATGCTGCATTTCTCCCAACAAGGGACCCAACGCGGCTCACAACATTAAAATTCACACAATTAAAAACACATTGTTAAATATGATTTAAAATTACAGTAAATTCAAAGACTGAAACATTAAAACATGGAGAAGATTACAATTATCTGCTAAAATGGAAGGGTGCTGTACCTCCAGTGGCTTCTGTAGCAACACTGTTTTGTTACAGCTACCTTTCTCTTCTGTGTCTCCGAAGACCAGTTTCACTTTTCCAAGAGTCAGTTTGCCATAGCGAGGAGAGTGACATGGTATGGTATAGTCACTGTGTCAGACGATGAGGTTTAACAAAGACTGTGCTGTTGGTTATCTGGGTTTCTAATCTACAGAATGCATCTCTTTTGGAAAGGTATCCTCATACCTGTTCTTTTTTTGGTCCATACAGACTAAGATTGGATTTAGGTAGACCTTGGAAAGTTGCCTTTTTGAAATAATTTGCTCCCATCACTTGTCACATGATTGGAAAAATAACCCATTATTGTTGCTTCATGCCATTAGAAAAGTGGCCCACTACATCATTTGTAGTACTGCTTCCTACTTTCCCACTACTTTACAGAGTTTTTTCAAAAACTCTTAGAGCTAAAAAGAGAATGGCATAAAATTTGAAAAAAACCCTGTTAATCGCCACATCTTTAAAATGTGTGAAAATACCCTTTAAATGTAACTTTTAAAACTACAAAATGGTAGTTACAACACCAACAATGTCATTTCTTGCCTGTGTTATTGTGTTATATTTTTAAATGTAACTTTGTTATGCCCTCATTACCTTAAAAGTAAGTAGTTACAAATAACTGTTCCTTTAAACTTTTTGCTTTGAAACTCTGGACTTACACCTTTGTTTTTAAAGTATCAAATGACATATTGTTATTTTTGCTAGAATCAGCTAATGCAGGTGCCCTTCTGGAAATTATTGCTTGCATTGGGACTGACTTTTTAACTAATATGCATAAGACAGGACTTCACGTGTCTTAACTCAAGTTTTCCTACCATAGAATAATAAGAATGTATTGTAAAGATAGTGTGGTTTCTTGATTCTAGTGCTTAAATGCTTCCTAAGATTTTCCTATTCTTTCTTCCCTGTCTAACAAAGGGAAATGTATTTTTTAAAGAAAAGCCTACTATCTGTTGTTATTCTCAGTAGTGGTCTCCTTCCAGTAGCAAGGGCTATAGCTGACAGCTGCCACACTGAATTTCTTGTCTAAATCAATTATGTATATATAGTTTTTCATTTTGTTTTTCTTTTGCCAGTTTGTAAGCTTTGAACTCCTCACAAAGCTGGTGCACCATGGCACATCATACGATGCCCGTAATTTCATTGTACATTTTGTCTGTGGGGGGCTCTCTGCTTGCGTGTCCACGGTGACGGTTCAGCCTTTAGACACACTGCGCACCCGCATGGCTGCTCAAGGAGAGCCAAAGGTAAGAGCTGGAATGCAGGAAGGACGCAGTTCCTCTCAGAACGTCCTGACCAACCATAGCTAGACAAGGCTGGGAGAGCAGTCGGGGTGGACGAAAAGAAAAAGTGATACAAATGGCAGAAGGGAAGGTCGGATGAGGGGAGTTTGGTTACTTTGAGACTTTTTTCTTTCCTTTTTTTCTTTTGGCAACTCAACTGTCCTTCTCATTCACCTAATAGGTGGCCTACACAGTGTTGTTTTTCCATTTGTGGCCCTCTAATGTTTTTCTCCCACTATGCCTGTCTTTTTCTCCTGACAGCCCCCACAAAAGCCAAAACAACTGTTAGGAAAGAAGAGATGGAATGTTGTTGTTTGTTCTTTAGTCATTAATTCATGTCCAACTCTTTGTGACCCCATGGACCAGAGCACGCCAGGCCCTTCTGTCTTCCACTCCCGGAGTTCGCTTAAATTCATGTTGATAACTTCAATGACACTGTCCAACCACCTCGTCCTCTGTCGTCCCCTTCTTCTCTTGCCTTCACACTTTCCCAGCATCAGGGTCTTTTCCAGAGAGTCTTCTCTTCTCATGAGATGGCCAAAGTATTGGAGCCTCAGCTTC